TTTGTTTATTTTTGTTGTTCTATGATATTCCTTTGTGTGAATATACCACCTTAAATAAATTCACCACACTCGGTACTAATTTGCATACCGTTAGCAGTGCATGAGAGTTCCACATCTTCACCAGCACTTGGCAACATCACTCTTTTCAACTAGTCTTGTGGATATTTAGTGATATTTCACTGTGGTTTTTAATTTGCGTTTCCCAGATTGCTAATGATGGTGAGCATCTTTTCACATGCTAATTTGTTATTTGCATACCCTCTTTTATAAAGTACCTATTCAAACTCTTACCCATATCATTAGGGTTATCTGCTTTAAAAAAAAAAGTTATAGGAGTTTTAAAAATGTAAACTGCATATAAATCCTCTGTTGTATGTATGTGATGCAGATATTTCTCCTGGTCTGCAGTTGAAGGCTTTTTAAAAAGGGGCTGAGAGTTCAATGTGTACAAAATGTACTGTGGGCTCTTCTTGGCTCTCAGAAAAGTAGACATTTGAAGACAAAGGAAGAGAGGAGAGATCTGGATCTCATTGTCTTTAAATTTATCACAACTTTCTTGAAGCAGGATTCGAGAGCAGCTGAGTATGCCTCATGCACTTGATATGATCAGTCTGCGTTTATTTGGCTACCCTCTTGCAAGCTAGAAGAGAGTCATCAATGTGCTATTCCAGCAGATTATTATCATACATAATAATATAGTGCTTTGCGTTAATAAATACTTGAATACCTACTATGGACCTGCACTGTGCAGCATGCTGAAAGCACAAAGATAGGTATGTCAGCACCCCTACATTTAGTGAGCTTTCAGGGCACTTTTTGTATCTACTCTCCTATTTTATCATATGAGGGTAGGGTGACCATTGGACTGGTAAAATAAAATTAATATGTGCTTCTGCTCCTCAAACTTTGATTCTCATTTAGTCACTGCCCTAATTCTTTAAGATCTGTAATTCTAAGATATGCCTTTGTCTCATCCTAATAGCCCCACCAATCAATACCTGAAGAAATTCTCGTTTCTCAAAATGACTAACATAAAACATACAGAAATGACTTAATTATATTTTTAAGGAAGCTACAAGGAGAAAAGACCATAAAATAGATATACTTAGCCCCCTGCTATCTAACAATCCTTTTAATAACCCCTTAAATAATAGCTATTAGTCAACTAAAATCATATAGCATTTATTGAGGGCAAGTCTGTAAGATGCTATGTTAGCTTAGACATTGAAGGAGACGTAAGACATGTAAGGTACAGTCCCTGCCCTCAAACATCTTTTACACATTGGTGGTGGTGATAGCATGTGTATGTGGAGGGAAAGTGTTAAGGAAGTACACAACATATAAAGTGACAATATGAACACAAAAACCCATCCCAAGTGATAGGAAGCTTAGCTGCAGGAAGGATCATGTTGGATTGATTGCAGCGAGGAGGAAAGGATTGCATTTATTAAGATAGTGTAGCTGCTACTATAAAACTAGCCCCAAGATGTATTGTGGCTCAAACACACAAAAAAAGGTTATGTCTCAATTATCAAAAGTTAAAAACAGGTGTTCCTGATTGGTAGTTGACTCTGCTTCAAATGGTAATTCAGAGAGCCAGATCCTTCCATTCTTCAACATATGGCTTTTAAGATTGCTGGGCTTATTCACATCAAGCTGGCAGAAGGAGAAAGAATATGGAAAATGGGAAGTTTTTCTAGCCAGACCTGAAATAGGAGTTCCATTGGCTAGAACTCAGTCACATGGCCACAGCTAATTGCAAGGGACCTTGAGAAGTGTAGTCTAACTATGTGTTCAAGAAAATGAGAGATGTGTTTGTTGACCACCTGTTAGTTTTTTCCACAGGCTTTGAATGCTTTTGTCCTCTCCAAAATTCATGTTGAAACTTAATTCCCTCCAAACTCCAGGTGTTGCCAATGTGATAGTATTAAAAGGTGATAGTATTTAAGAGGTGATCAGGCCATCAGGGCTCCTTTATCATTAATGGGATTAAGGTCCTTATGAAAGAGGCTTTACATAGCATTTGGCTAGCTTGCCCTTCTGCCTTTGCCATGTGAGGATGCAGCAAGAAGGCCCTCACCAGACCAGGTGCTGCTGCCTTGATCTTGGATTTCCCAGTCCCTAGAACTGTGAGAAATAAATTTTTCTTCTTTATAAATTCCCCAATATCAGCTATCTCATTATAGCAGCACAAAATGGACTAAGACAGGCTTTATGATAGCAGGGCATTTAAGATAGGTTTTCAGGCAATTTGAAGTATTTTGACAGAGATTGGAAAGAAGGATGAATTCAGGTAAAATGAATAGCATAAAGAAGGATAAGCAATATATTGATATAACAACAGCAACAACATGCAGGGGCATTTTGGACAACAGTTTGTTAGGAGCATAGACTATATAGTTAGTGGTATGGGAGAACCTGTTGGAAAACTATATTGAGACTATTTCCAACCTGAAGTTATATTTCTGGAGGTTTTAAAATCCAGACTGAGGAGCTTATATCCAGCTTGTTCTTCTGGCCACCAGGGCTCATTCCCACTTGCAGAACAATTGTGGCCCAGATTGGTTTTCTTTTTTTTCCTTCATACTCTGGCCTTTCCTAGGAAGTAAGATCTCATGTTTCTTTCAAACACATAGTGTCAGCCAGTTAGGGAGATGGGTTCAGACCCTCAGCATGGGCAGCATCATTTTGAGCCTTTGTACTAGAGGATTTCAGAGATTCCAGGGGCCTCCTGCCAAAAACCAGTCTAATGCATGGTATCTGCTGAATACTGTGTTTGGGATGAATCCCAAATATAGGGGAAGGAGGAGAGGAGGGGGAATTCCTTTTGGACCCTAAGACACAATCATCTTGTGGTCAGGATCCTGGAATTTGATTACCCATTTTGTTATTTTGGCTTGCATAGCTGCAACTGTGGCTCACAGTTATAAAAGTATCCGGTCCTTTAAAATCCAGCCACAGCCTTAAGCTTGATGACCTCCTGACAGTGATTAATTGGGAAGGGTGGGAGCTGGGGAAATCCTTTCTCCTCCCTTCAGACCTGCCAACTTGGCTTTGAACCTAGAGGAATGTTTTGGTCAGAGAATAGATATCCCCACGCCCTCTACCCTCTCTCTCACCCTCACCTCTGCCCCACATTGCATGTTCTATTTGCTATTCATATGCATTCATCTTTGCTAAATTAACTTTGACCCAGGCTTTACTATAATATGTGCTGCCCCTGGCAGGCTTCTGTGTGATATATTCTTCCTCCCTGGAGCTTCTGGCCATGAAATTAATGGCTCTGAAATTTTACCTTTGCTCTACAGTTTGGGGAGGGTTTCTTCCATTGTCTCTACCAAGATGTAAGCATGACTGCGTATCTTTCTTAAACCATTGAAAAAGAAAGAAGACAGAATCTTTGAAGCAACAGTGAACCTCCTAAAAGGTATTTCTTTTCTAAGCAAACTTGAAAGAGGAAGCACACAATTTTTCACTCCTGATCACTTTCATTATTTTTTGAATTTGTGGAAAGGCAGATGTTCATTTTCCCATGGCAAGGGTTTCTAGATTTTTTTCCTTTAGTTGGGCACAAAACAAATCTAAAGGAGTCACTACGACATTGTGTCTCTTATCCTATGTGCGTCTTTCTCCCTCGTCTTCCTCAAGATCTTTGTTTATCCTTCTCTGGCCACCCTCTGCACTCACAGCCTTCAAATAACTAACCCTTGATGATGGTGGGCATTTGGTGTTTTTCTCTTTTGGTTGCTTGCATATGTGGAAGGTGAAACTCTTCAGGCCAGTGTCTGTGGAACCAGCACATTCTCTAGCATTCTTTGAGATCTATGTCCTTCTTCAAGCACTGAGACATTTGGAAAGACAGCATGGTGTGTTGGAATGCAAAGTGAGCAGAAATTAAGCAGACTTGGAACAGTCTGAGTCTTGAGACCTTGAAACAAAATGTGTTTCCTGTCTGAGCCCCTGAGCTCAAGTGATCCTTTTGCCTCAGCTTCCTGAGTAGCTGGGAATACAGGTATGTACCAGCATGCCTGGCTAATCTTTTAAAACTTTTTTGTAGAGACAGGGTCTTGCTATGTTGCTCAGGCTGATCTTGAACTCCTGGCCTTAAGAGATCCTCCCACTGCAGTCTCCCCAAGTGCTAAGGTTACAGGTGCGAGCGACTACACCCAGCCACTTTCTGCCTTTAAGATCAAAAGTTGCATTCAAGATCAACACCTATGGGGGAGTGAGGAAGAGGGACTGAACAGAAAGAAGTTGGCCTGAAATGTAGTCACAACAAAGACCTCAGCCAGCCTGTGGGGAGCTCTGGAGCTGAAATGGCCCCGTGGAGCTGTGCTAAATTGGTGCAGGGAGGGCAGGACTTCATATTCCATCATTGGCCAGTCATTGCATGTGGGTTGACTCATTTTGAGTGAGACATCTCTCTTTAGCAGAGGCAGGGGGCCACATCTGTGAGGAGTTAGACATCAACAATCCTAGCATCTGGGAGAATGAGTATTCAAGTCCTAAATATCTAAGGTGTGTGTGTTGGGGGGAGAGGAGATGAATCTGAGCAGTGCACCACAATGTTTATGACATATCATTAGTAATTTCTAGGAGTTGAATTGTTGGTTCACATGATGTGGGTAAGTTCCTCTGTAATAGATATTGTCGAACAATATTCCAAAGTGTTTTTACCCAAATACCATTTAAATTCAGATTGTGATAATCCCCAAGTGAACTCTTTCCAAAAAGATAAAGAAAAATTTATAAAAGGGAAACAAATGTAAAAATATTATTTTAATATTTTCTATATCATGGAGAAAGCAAAACTGAGAACCATTGGAATAAGCTATTATTTTCTAACTTCTGACTCGATGTCCTGAAAACCATCACCATTGCTCAAGTTGTTCTGAAATCTAGTTATGGAATAAGTAGATCCTAAAGAGTTCTTAGTCTGTTGAACAAAGAAAGAAAATAAGGTATATGAATTGACTGTTGTCTCAAATTTCATTTTTCAGGGTGGCCAAGTCAATGAAGATCCCTGTGTATGAGACGCCAGCTGGATGGAGATTCTTCTCAAATCTGATGGACTCAGGACGGTGCTCTCTGTGTGGAGAAGAGAGCTTTGGCACCGGTAGGCTTAGTAGGGTTGATGTTCATGGGGAGAGTGGCTGCAGCTCTCTGTGACTTCAGTCTGAAGATTTGTGATTCTGTGAATGAAAGGCTAGAGGAAGAGTTAATTAGAGGCCAAAAAAAAAAAAAAAAATTAGAGAAACCTAGTAGGATGTTGCCCATTTTGTTTCTTCTTTTAAATAATATTTCTTATTTTTCAATTATGGAAATTTTTTAAAATGTAAAAGAGTAGGGAGAATATTATATTGAACCCCTATGTGCCTATCACCCAGTTTCAACGATCATCAACTTTACCTCTACCTTCATCCACAAGGGGAGTCCTCCTTCTTTATTATGAAGCAATCCCCTGTAGCTTATTGATTTAGCCATAAATATTTCAATGTGCATTTTTAAATATAAGGGCTCTTTAGAAAAAAACATATAACAACAGTACCATTGTCACACCTAAAATGTTAAAAAGATAGTTTCTTTTTTCAATACTTTAAATATGTCACTCCATTGTCTTCCAGCTTGCAGTTTCCAAGAAATCTGATGTAATTCTTATCTTTATTCCTCTGCATGTAAAGTGCCACACTCCTCCCCCATCAATCCCCTCCCTTTGGTTTCCTTTTTTTTTTTTTTAATCTTTGGTTTTATTATATGTTTAGGAGTGAGTGAATGTGTGTGTGTGTTTAGCTCTGCTTAGGGTTCTCTTGGATTCTTGGCTGTGTCATTTGTTGTTATTCATTACTTTTTAGAAAATACTCAGCCACTATCTTTTTGAATATTTCCTTCCCCATTCTCAGACTTTTCTTTTTCTGAGGCTTCAGTTACACATGTTAGATAACTTGTGACTATAAGTGTTGCCTCAGAGCTCTTTATCGTTGTTTGACTTGTTTGATTCTTTTTTTACTTTGTGTTTCAGTTTAGATAATAGCTATTGGAATACCTTTAAGTTTACCAAATTCTTTCCTTAGCTATGTCCAATTTGCTGATGAGCTTGTTGAAGGAATTCTTCTTCTCCGATACTGTGTTTTTTATTTCTAGCATTTATCTTTAACTCTTTTTTATAATTTCCATCTCTCTTTTTTTTTAGTTTTCTTTTTTTTTTATTTCAGCATATTATGTGGGTACAGATTTTAAGGTTTCAATAAATGCCCATTTCCTCCCTCCCCCCACAAGTTATAATTTCCATCTCTCTAATGAAATTCCCCATCTGTTTATGTATTATCTTTTCCATTCGATAATTTAATATATTAAACACGGTTATTTTAAACTCTCTGATAGTTCTAATATATCTGGTTCATCTATGACTCTCGTTCTGCTGATTACTTCATCTCTTGACAATTGTTTTCTTTTTTCTTTTTGCAGATCTCATTTTTTTTTGTTGTTGTTTAATGTTGGACAGTACATACATAAGAAAAGTAGATATTCAAATAAATGGTATTTACACCCAGAAATGGGCACACCTCTTCTTTGGTGCAATTAGTGTAAGAAAGTTCAGTTAATCTAGTCAGGAGTTTAGCTGGGTTTGGGTTTTACTGTTTCTGTTACAACCTTCAGTGTACCACAGGCTTCACAATCCTCCAGCATTGGGATTTATTTTTTACCATGGCCTGAAACTGAGGTTGAAGTGCTAGAAAGGTTTTTTTTTTTAAGTGTTCTTGCTCCCCTCCCCTCAGCTTTTAGCAGTCACTGCATGTCTATGACATAAAATAGAGCTCTATCACCAGGCTCTTAAACCTCTGCAGTGACAGCGACCTCTGCTTAGTATTGATTTAGGATTATGAGCCCAAGAAGATTTCCTACCTCTCCCCAGGGGCAGAGGGTTTTTTATTTTTGCCCCTCCCTCAGTAGCAATAGACTTTTTTTTTTTTTTAATCTATATGCTTCAAAACATTCTTTTGTAATTGAGATTTTATTGGTTGTGTTGAGGATCAATACAGACATTTCAATTTGTACACAATTCTTAACATTCGTACCGAAAATCTAAAAAGCCATTTATTTTCATTCTTTTTAAAACAGTTATTCCAGTGACTTTCCAGCTTAAAATTTGGAGACAAATTTTCCTTAAGAGGATATCAAGTACTAGTATCTTCAAATGTTGATAAGCTGTTACATAAGTCCCAGCAATAGATCTTTGCCTGGGCCTGTGGGATGAGAAGGTTTTCAGTCTGTATACCAGGAGCTAAAGCTTTTGTGTCATGTCAGGGAAGGATTTGGGGAAGCAGAAAGGCTTCGTGCCTGTCTCCAAGCAGCAGCTGACTGTCTCCAATATGGCTACATCACCAAGTCTCCCTCCGTGCCTCCAGTTTCTTCTGAGCACCTAGTGGTGGTCTGTACGAGAGAACTTGGGAGTGTGTCCTTGTATTTTGGGACTCAAAGTGATTTTAAACGAACATGATAGACTACAGTTGGGCTTTAAAAAAATTTTTTTAACTCAAGTTATTTCTTACTATTTGTACAGTAGCCCCCTCTTTCTCCTGCACTTTGCCAAAGGTGAGACCGTTTTTTGTGTCCTGTCTCTCCTTAAAGTGGCTTGTCACTCTTTGGAATTTACTTTATTGCTTTGTCATCTCAGATTTCTGAGTTCAAACAAAGTTATTATTTTGTACATTTCTTGGCCTTTCTTCATTGCTAGGATAGTGATGACTTTCTCTTGAAGATTTTCATATCTTAAAAAGTAGTACACAAGTGGAACTTCAAAGTAATTTCTTAATAATTTCCCTTAGCCTCATTTCCTTCCCCTCATTAATGGTTTGTTCTAATTGGATCTAAAAGATCTCACATTGTAATTGGTTGATATGTCTCTTAAGTCTCTTTTAATCTGCATTTCTTTCTTCTATGTTTTCCCCTTATTCATTCATTGAAGAAACTGGGTCATATGTCTTAGAGTACTTTGAATAGTTTTGATTTTGATGCTGCTGTCCTTATTTTCCTTTCCAATTTGTTTAGTGTTACATGAAAAAAAAACAACTGTTGATTAGTATGCTTTTTCTCTAGCTTGCAACCCCGTTAGCACATTCTGTTATTAATTATAGTATTTTCTTTTTTAAAACTCTACATACTTTGGGGACTTTTTTTGTTGCACAGTCATACGATATATGACTAAAAATTTTTTGTATGTTTTTTAATATTTACAGCCTTTATTTTGTATTCTTATTGCATTAGCTATTATCTTTAAAATATTATTAAATAAATGTTAACTAGCTCATAATTTTAATGGAAATGGGTTTAGTATTTTACTGTCTATTTTGACCATTGCTTTTTAATATTGGTAAAATTTTGATCATGCTTGTATAGATTAATGTTTCTTTTCCTGTTTTACTTAGAGTCAGATTAGAAAAGACTGCTGGATTTATCAGGTACCCTATCAGAAGCTAGTGATATACTTGTTCTTTATTTTTCTTATGTGAACATAATAAAATGTCATAATTGATTTTCTGATATCAAATAATACTTGGATTTCTGAGAATAAGACCTATTTGGTCATGCTTAAACATATTGCAGCAAAATCGCTATAAACAATCATCATCTTTCAGATCATGTTGGGTCATGAAGGAATTTCTTCCTGGGATATTTTCTCCTCTTACCCAAATCAATCAGACCCTAGCAGCATTATCATTAATAGTTCCAGAAGAATGGCATGCATCTTTGTTTCCTTGGACAAAAAGAGACCACAAAAAGAGACCAATCAAACTCTCTCAAGTATTGTTTTTTGAACTCAGGATGCATAGATGAAAGCTCTGCTTGGGACAGCTCAAACTGTCATACCCTTTTTCTGCTGAGGCCTTAACAAATATTTTCCTTCCTCTTTGGTCTTCCGTGTGCTTAAACCAGTGAGCATTATTCAAAAAGCTAGAAATTATATATTGCATATAATAGTTCTGACCACTAGTTAGTAAAATAAAGCAAATCTAGCAACTGGAATGAAAACTGCTAAGTCTAGGTTGGCCCTTCCTCTCTGTCTCCATAAGCATTTATTGAGTGCTAACAACATATTGTATCCTTCTAGTCTCTTTAATGAAAGAGATAAATATTACATGTGTAAACCATGTTACACTCTCAGTAATGAATATTTGCTTAATTCAAATTAATAAATATTTATTCAGTGCTTACAGCATACAAGGCACTGTATTGGATGGTAGATTGAATACAAGATGCTCAAGACCACACCTTTAAGTACTTCTAAGTTCTTTAGGGTACGTAATAAGAAAGATGCACATAAGACTGTTCTACAAAATTTTAAGGTGCCACAGTGGAGGAGTAGAAAATATGCCATGGGAGATGAGAAAAGGAGAAAGTGCTTTGGACTGAGGGTTTAAAGTTAACGTCATGAAAGAGATGGAAGGTAAGATAGCACTTCGAGAATGTGGAGGATTTGTATGCACAGAGAAGAAAAGAGCAAGGACTTGGCAGATGGAGAGAACAATGTCAAGCAAGGAATAGAGGTGGGAGATCAGGGGATGTGTTGTCAGTAGCCAATTGTTCAGATTTCCTAGAGCAGTGTTTTTCCAAATATGGATCGAGACTCATTTGGGATCATGAGATTAATACAATATCACAAACAGCTTTAAAATATATTAATAGAAGAATAGAATCTATCTGAGTACATTGCATTTAGTCAAGATATTATTTTGAAAATTTGATGTCTGTATATAAATATGCACACATGCATATATGTGTATGGGAGATCTTAAGACAAAATGTAATTATTGTAGATAATCATCAGAAAGGTCTTAAAAATACTGGTCTATAGCAGCAGTCGATGAACTTTTTTCATAAAGGACCAGATAGTAAATATTTTAGGCTTTGGGGGCCAAGAGGCCACATACGGTCTCTGTCAAAATTACTCAACTGTGCTACTGTAGCACAAAAGCAGCTATACACAATATGTAAACAAATGAGCATGGTTGTGTTCCAATAAAGCGTTGAATACAAAAAATGAGCATAAGTCTAGATGTGGCCCATGAGCTGTAGTTGCTAACCTCTGACATACAAGGTAGGGTAGAGGAGGGTGTA